TCGATCGCGGAGTCTTTGACCCTAGAAATCCAACCAGCTCTATTTAATAGAACGCAATGCACTGTAGGCCGATCGTAGTGGCCGCGCGGTCTAAGGCATGAACTGTCTTCGCTCGCTCGAACACTGGGATCTTGGATTCGAATCCCTCCTGTGTGGAGGTAGCAGCCTTGCGACGGGCTGACCACTCGTCCAGGGAGTCCTACCGTCTGTGTAAAAAGGTTTACGAAGCTGAAAAAGAGGCCAGAGACTAACAAAGGGCTGTAGAGATGAACATACTGTAAACAATTTTTATGAGTGCGAATCCATGAAACTTTTAACATGTCCCCATTACTTATTAATACATTTTTTAAAACAAGCAATTCGTTCCCATTTTACCAAGGTCACTCTGACAAATTCTCAGTAACAGCAGTTTGTTCGTCAGGAGCCACACGTGTACATTATGAGCAATTCGATTCTGAAAATTATAGCAACAGCTGCTTGTTTGGTACGAGCCATTTGATTTAGTCAAGCAATGCTGTAAGTATACTGGCTGTCCTAGGAGGAAAGCCAATATTTTTGGATGTCAAAGTGTCGGTAATTCTAAGCAAAAATCTGTATATGTACATGTGTCCTATTCCAAAATTATTCCGAGATAGAGCCATTTCACGCGAGCAACACGCCACGTCCTCACAGCAGTTGCAAAGTGCATTGATAATACGGTTGAATTTTCGATATGTATTATACTAGGTAAACTGTACCAACGCCGGTTGCGGTAGCCGAGTGGTCTAAGGCATGTACTGTTTTCGCTCGCTTGGAAACCAGGATCGTGGTTTCGAATCCCACTCAGGGCATGGATGTTTAGTTTGTGTGTGTGCGTTTTTCTGTGTTTGTGTATAGGTAGAGGCCTTGCGACGAGCTGATCACCCGCCCAAGGAGTCCTACCGAATGTGTAAGATCTAGAAAAACCGAAGTGAACGGAGAAGTTCATGGAGGAAGGCCTAGGCCCACTGGGGCTGTAGTGCCAAGGAAAAAAAAAACTGTACCAGCTTTGTCACTTGAGCAATGAATACCGGTATTAGAAACAGTACGTAATATTGCTTCCTTATCAACCATTTTTGAACGGTACAGTAAACTAACTCTATCTCAGGAATCGTTCGAAATAGGGCACATGTACATATACAACTTTTGCTTGGAATGACCGATACTGTGATCTCCCCGAATATTGACCTTTTCCTCTGTCACTCTGTATGTACACAATAAGAAAGCCCTATCTTGCAAGCGTCTTGATTTTCTAGTATTACCGACAATATCCCTGCTTTACTGCGTAGATATTGCACGTTTATTTGAAAAGCTCGACGACTCCACTTATTAGCTTCTCTGAACCCACTGATATTAAATATGTTCCTCATTTGTATATCGTGTCATCCAATCCGTACAATCGGAATAAATTATACAACATTTTTTCGCTTTATCGCTTAAAAGATCACCACTGGTTATCTTTTTTTCGTATTTTTCCCCTTTTAACTTTACATCTATCCTCTCTCACAATAAACATAACAAACTTCCATCTAGTCTCGTCCTCCAAATGAAAGAAGCTAAAAGTCAGTAAGCCGGTCACGGTAGCCGAGCGGTCTAAGGCATGTACTGTCTTCGCTCGCTTGGAAACCGGAATCGTGGGTTCGAATCCCACTCAGGGCATGGATGTTTAGTTTGTGTGTGTGTGCGTTTTTCTGTGTTTGTGTATAGGTAGAGGCCTTGCGACAAGCTGATCACCCACCCAAGGAGTCTTACCAAAAGTGTAAGATCTAGAAAAACCGAAGTGAACGGAGAAGTTCATGGAGGTAGGCCTAGGCCCACTGGGGCTGTAGTGCCAAGGAAAACAACTCAGTAAAATTTAAGGGTTAATTAAGGTATTTGTTTATTAGTTAATGATTCAGATTAATAGAAAATAAAACTGAAACCAACGTTGGACGTTTACCCTTTGTTGAAACTGCGACATTCCCGAGTTCCGCCGCTCGCAGACAACTGCCCTTCACAATAATGACTTCCTTTCTGAATACGTTGCACACAAGCAGCTGCTTCTTGCTGGAACGAGAGAAGAACGGACACGGCACCATCTCGTGGCTCCAGGTATCCGCTGTAGCGCATAACAGCGCCACTATGCGCTATATTGATTGCACTACGTGGAGTATATGCGAGATGCACAAAGCTTTGGAAACTGGACAGTGCTATACTAACGCATTGTACGGGTCTCTTCTGGGTAAGACCACTCTCCTTACACTTGATGACTGGCGGAAACTGATCCAGTTTCCGAATTAGTTTTGAAGTTTTATTTTACAAGCTCTCTCTATCTATGCTACATAGCATCCATTGAAAGAGTGGTTGTTGAATGAAGAACTAGAAATGATGTGGAAGTAAGAGGGCTTGGCATAATCGAGGCAATATTCTGGAATTCGGTAGGACTGACTACTACCGCGAAAATCCTCAGTCAGGATAGCAGATGTCCTAGTCGAAGTTCGAGCGGATTGCCGCGAGTTTTACCTCTGCATCAACCCACTCGGTGTTGTTTTTATGAAATGCACAACCACCAATGGACAGTCAGTGATAGTCATAGTTACTTTAAGACTTGCGGTTTGCCGCCAATCAGTTCGTCTTGGCGACAAGCACCTAGAGACTCATGACTGGAGATTTTTCAACTGAATCCTTAGGGTCACAGCCGTTGTAACATCCTCTCTAACGAGAGACAGGTCTGTCCTTTACATTTACTGCTGGTCCTCGTCAGTGCAGCCATTCTCGGGTCAGGCTCCAGCGTGACTCATTACCATATTTTACTGTCTCAGATTCGAGACTCGGCCAAATTGGAGTGCCAGGTCCCATTATTTCTACGTGTATCTCACAGGAGGAGAATGGCCCAGGTATACCCCCAGGCATTGGGTTTCATTTCCTTCGCCCCCTACGACTAGCAGGGCTATGGTGGTGGTATTCGAACCCTCCTCCACACGGCTTGTCGTTCAACTCACAATGGACAGTGTCCATTTCTCGACTCTACATGTAGTCTCGGTACTGAAAGCATAGGGGCACGCGTTAGCGTAGTTGGTTGAGGCATTATGCTGCAAACTGGAAGGTCGCGGTTTCTGTTTCTAATGAGGTCATTGGGTTTCTTTCAATTGACTTAATCCTTCCAGCCTCTCTATGGCCCTGGAGTCGACTCAGCCTCTAACAGAAATGCATATTCTTGGGGGTAAAGGGCGGTCGGCGCGTAAAGCTGAGAACATTTACGCCATCTATGGGCCGATTGTCTGGAAAATGTGGGAACCTCAACATCTCACAACCCTATGGGCCTTCACGGCCTTTTACAGGATACCTTTACTTTTTTACTTACTTACCAAATTTAATTTATTAATTTGAGTGAACTTCTTTAAATGTTTTGCTACCATATATTTGATATTAGTGAAGAATGGAACTCTATTCTTGACCACTATGGAGTACTTCTGCTTGTAATAAACAATAAATTTCGTTATTTCAATATACATAGTTTAGTTTAAGAAATCCCCTGAAGAAGAAGGGGGCAGGCTGTTCAGTTTCCAGTGAAATACACTTTTTTTCTTATATGGCGTGAGAGACAAATGCGAACCAAGGACTTCCGTTTTAAGGTTTCTAAAACATATTTATAGATATTTGGGAGGACCCGCTGAATGGGGGATCGGTTCGTAGTAAGGCTGCTATCTGCAGAGAACACAGACTCAGAAAATCGCGGATATATATGCATTCCCCGAGCGGGATTCGAACCCACCATCCCCATGTTCAAGTACACGCCCTACACCACACAACCGCCGTAACTGGTCGATGAAACCTAGTACCCATTGATAATTCAAAACTCGCAAATGACTTGTACGGAATTGTTTTTGTCATAGTACGATAAATTAAAACATACGTTTTCAAATTTTTCTTAAATTCATCATTGCCCATACATGTTTCCATATTTACATATTATCCTCAGATATACATATATAGTTAATAAAGAAGAACCTAACTGAACGTTCTTTTCTATTATTGTAATTATGTAGGGCGTATGGGAGAAAAGAGGAAAGCACGTAGGATTCTAGTGGGAATGCCAGAAAGAAAGAAAACATTATGTAGGAGAATAATATTAAAATTGGTCTTAGAGCGGTAGTATGGTGTGGTATGGACTGGATTCATCTGACTCAGGGCACGAACTAATGAAAGGTTCTTTTGAACACGATAACGAACCTTCACGTTCCATAAAATGTCGGGAAATTGGTGGCTTCTCAGGAAGGACTCAGTTCCATGGAGTTAGTTAGTAATAATGTTATAAAAATAAATAAAGTGAAGTACACGTGAAATATTCTTACATAGAAACTAGCATCATATATTACAAACAATGTACATTCTTGTATTTATGGTACGCGCTGTTTTAAATATGTGTGACTTTCACAAAAAATGTAATATTATTACAATCAAGAAAAATAAAATATGAGTTAGCATCTTTTTATTACTAGGTCTAAACATGTCTAAATATTTTGGGACAATGATGATTTTAAAAAAATTCCAAGAACGTTTGTTTTAATTCACTCTGCTATTATAATAAACAACGGTACACAGCTCAAAACAATAAAACAAATTAGTATGGAAAAATCAGTGTGGGTGCGCGCGCACCTGTTCGTACCCAGTACTCCGCTAGAACGAACATGTCGTCAAACCCATTTGTCACGTTGTTCACGTGTAGGCCAATAGCAGAGTGTGTCTGATAGTCATGTAGCTAACAGATAGCAGGTTGCAGCGTCACGGAAATAGACGTGTATTCAGTAGACAGGGAATTTGTACGTTGTAAGATTGTAAGAGTTCAGTGCACAAAGGCTGTGGAACATGTAAATAGTGTTTCTCCTTGCGCAGTGTTTTAGACATTCCTTTGTGACTTCATCAAGATATCCAAAGTGTCGATAGCATGTGAGTTGGTTTACTGTTTCAGTGTTTTGTGTGCATATGTGTTATGATGTACAGATTGGGCAATTGTATACTGAAGCGAATTCTTTATTCGAGATAGAAGAACGTGTGAATTAATAGTTGGATAAGGAATTACAAGCAATAGATTCTTCTTAGATCTCAGTGGTTCTATCCCCACATGTTGTGGCATACAGAAAACAGGAAAACAGTGTTTTAAAAGGAAACATTTGAACATGCGAGATAAAAAGTAACTCTTTTCTAAGTTCTATTGTGATTTTACACAGTTTAGTCATGCCTTAAGAAACTAAATAAATTTACAACTTGAAGAATATAGAAAAATACAGCTAGAGCCACTCAGAACTAAGGTGACGATTGTTAAAATAGTGGAAATACAGCTTTATGTTGCAAAAATATCCCCTTTCCAAAAAAATGTTTTTGCCGAAGACATTGAAGAACTTTTTGTAAAGAGACGTGAAGGGAAAAGTTTTCCAAAATCATAATATTAATTTTATGTTCAAAATCCAACTACCTAACTAAATATATAGTGTAATGCCTTTCCTTACGAGATCTGCTCAGCTAGTCAGAAAATTTCCATCATTTTATGGAATTCGAATATTCTTCAGAATACTGGGTTTTCGGACTTCGTCCGTCGTCCCGTATTCTAGAAGCTAGAAACCACAACGTTTCGGAAGCTGGATCTGTTTCCTTCCTCAGGTGAGGAGGGGAGACACCTACCTTATTGCGTCCCTTAGAAAGAGCTAACCTCAATCACAGGACCTGGCTCTTTCTAAGAGTCCCAATAAAAGTGCCTCCCCCTCACCTGAGGAAGGAAACAGATCCAGCTTCCGAAACGTTGTGGTTTCTAGCGTCCAGAATACTGGACGATGGACAAGTCCGAAAACCTATTAATTCTGAGTATTATACGCCATCGTCAGAACAATTTAGAATCTACTCGAATATTCTTTGCCGTGTTCACAGAAGCCCGGCACTGGTCCCTGTCCTGAATCAGATGAATCCAGTTCACATATTCACAGCCTATTCCCTTAAGATTCCAATTCAATATTGTCCCATTATCTACGGCCAGGTCTTGTACTCGGCTCCCCAGGTTTTCGTACCAAGCATTTGTATTTATTTATCTTCGTTCTCTTGCATGCTACATGGCCCATTCATTTTATCAATCATAATTTCATCTTCGTAATAAATGTGAAATGGTGGCTAGCTGATTAAAGTGTAAGTAAATTTAAAAGTAAGTTTACCAATTGTAAAGAATGACGTCGTTTAGTGTGGTTGAGGTTCGCGAATATCTCGGAACAGAATATTGCCTTCATCTTTATCCAAGGCCTGGATTTAGACTACATGTCACGTGTTAGAAATCACAGCGCGTAAGAAAATCAAATCCCTCGCAGTTTTACCGACCTTTTTCTTTGGACGTCATTCTTATTTTTCACCATTAGGGAAGGACATTGGATGAGAGAATTTCAGAACAGGATGCCAATACAAAGAACGAAACAGAAACAGGAGGATGGAGAAAACAAAGCTAAGAAAATTTATTACTTGAACGCTTACGCGTTAGTAAATTATCACGATTTGGGGGTTTTGCGTGACGTGTAAGATGGGTTCTGGATTGGATGATTGGATTTATTGACACCTTATACACACAACTTGGGACTACAAGCAATACAGCCCTATCGCTTATCTACACACTTCACAGTTCACCGTTGCACACGCACTATGGATCTCAGTCTTCACTAGTCGTATCCTGGCAACAGATTTATAACAGTCTCACTGTCACTACAAATCACGCATGAAGTCTTCTTTGCACAGCCTAATTCCTTTCTTGCCCTTATTCTGTAACTGCCAACTCAACTCAGTTCGTCTGCACGCAAGTTAATATCCTGGCAGGCTGGCGTTCCGAAACTCAATACTCTGCTGCTACTTCCAGTCTGAGTCTCATTTTACGACCGACGGTTAGTCGGCCAGTCTGTCTTAGCATAAAGCACCCATCTGGGTCTTGCGACCAGATTTTATTACTGTTTGACAGTTTTGGTCTTGTTTTTTTGTCGTCGCCCTCTCTGACAAGAGGACGGGTCTGACTTTTGTATATGCTGCTGGTTCTTGTCACCGCAGTCCTCGGGTCCGAGTCCCTTGGTACTCGAGACCATATATTACTGTCTCAGATTCGAGACTTCCCTTTTCGTCGCCTCTTAAGTCAAGTCAAAGTCACATTGCGACTGATGGTCAGTCAGTCTGTCTGTCTTGGTGTCGAGCCCCGACTGGGGCTCATGACCAGATTTCTTTTCTTTATATGAAAGTTACTGTCCTGTTCATTTGGGGCGCCCTCTCTGACGAGAGGTCGGGTCTGTCATTTGTCAGTCATAGTCTGTGTTAGTAAGTCCATTATCAGTATTTACATATATTTACAATTTAATCTTAATTCCTATTTCTATGTACAATATACAGTATATGTGTGTGTGTATAAGTATGTATGTATACCCTTCACAAATGTTATACACAATTGTTCGGTGCTCATCCAAAGTACTTACTTACTTACTTACTTACTTACTTACATACTCATGGAGCTGAGCCCTTCTTGAGGAGCCGCCAATTCAGCAGCTACTCAAGAATTTCCCAGCATTTTTTGGAACCAGAAGGTTCATTGCCATGTTCACAAGAACCCTCCACTGGTCTCTATACTGAGCCAGATCTATCCAATCCATACCATCCCATTCTGTCTCTGTAAGATCCATTCTAATATTGTACACCCACCTACGCCTTGGTCGTCCCTGTGGTCTCTTTCCTTATGGCTTTCCCACCAATATCCTATACGCATTCCTCGTCTCCCCCATTCGTGCTACATGACCTGCCCACCTCATCCTCCTTGACTGGATCATTCTAATTATACTTGGAGATGAGTACAAGTTATGAAGCTCCTCATTATGCAGTTTTCTCCAACCTCCTGTCACTTCATCCCTCTTCGGTCCAAATGTTCTCCTCAACACCCTGTTCTCAAACACCCTCAGTCTATGTTCCTCCCTTAATGTCAGAGACCAAGTTTCACACTCATACAGAACCAGAGGCAGAATTATAGTTTTGTATATTTTAATTTTTATGCTTTTGGACAGCAGACGTGAAGACAAAAGGTTCTGGACTGAATGGTAGCAAGCATTACCCGAGTTCAGTGTCCTCTTAATTTCCTCCTGAATCAGGTTTCGATCTGTTATCGTTGTTCCCAAATATCTTAACTGTGCCACAATTTCAAAACATCTGTTTCCTATCTTTATGTCATGATTTTGCCCAGAATTTTGCTGACGAGACAGCAACCTATACTTAGTTTTCTTTGTGTTTTCTTCTAGACCAACCTCTTTACTTGCGTCAATTAAAGTTTGTGTGTTTTTCTTTATGGTATCTACATTATCACCCAGTAAATTCGCATCATCAGCATAGACCAACAGATGATGTGTCCCGTTCAAGCTCATCCAAAGTATGCACATAAAAAACAGCTCCGTAAAACAAATTTGTAAACTTTCTAAAATAAAGCAACGGCCAGGTAGGGACTTAGTTTGGGATTCACATATTTAATGCCGGACTGCTAACAAGAAGTCAATTTGCATCCGGAGTTATGACCGTTTTAAACTCAGAATAGAAGGTAACGATTACTGGCAATAAACGGAACAAAATAATAAACCAGCATAATACATGATACATTTAAAGTATGAATGTAAAGTTAACTTCGTGAAATTACCTTTAATTTAAATTGATTGATGCTTAAAGCTGATTTTCGAAAATGCCACCGCCGGCCGCAACACAGGCTGCCGCTCGGTTGTGAATCGCGCCGGACATACCAACCCTCCCCGCCTTATGTACATCTCAAGTGTCGAGATAACGAGAACGCTCTGTCTGTAGCTGGCTCAAAATAGCGACCCGCCAGCTGACAGACGCGGTTCACACGAGGGCGTGTACGGGAATGAAAAAACGGTCATAACCCCGTAACCGTCCAAAATCGGACACATGTTTATATGAAATTTTTGATCACAGAGACCTAGGAAATCGCCTCCTGCAGTTATGCCCTAAAGTCGTGAAACACTCTGTATATAAATTTGTCCAACTGTTTAATAACCGTGTTCTTAAATTTATTTCTGACGATTATGTATATTGCTTGAAATATTCCAAGTCGCGTTTTTCTTCTCATTCATTTTGATAACTTATTCCCATATAATAAGATTTAATTTATTCACAAGTATTTTTCTTCCACTTCCTCCTCTGTTCTTTCACATCAACACCTCATATATAACTGTTGATGGTCTTCTGTTCTGACTTCAGCGACAATTATAAATCACATCCTTGAACAAAGTTAGTGAGACGAAACTTGCTTGTTTATTTTGAGCCAGTCTTGCCTTCCTAACCCTGAAAACAATAGCTACTTGAGCTTCAGTGACACTATGAGGGCCCAGTAAGACAACAGTGGCTTAATGATTATTTTCAGAATTACGAAATCAAATTAATGCATAATGAGAACATGTGAAAATGAGACAGTGCTAATATATATATATATATATGATGTCGAAGTTTAGCACTGAATGATATGCTGTCCTGTCAGACACGTACGTGCAGTTCGCCTCAAACCCTACATACATAGGCCGTTTTGTCATCTGCTTTAAGCCATAACACTGAAATAGAAATACAGGACAGAAGTCACGATTAGTCACCCAGAGGTTAGGTTAGGCTGGGCTGAGTTGGGCTTGAATCAATTCCCCTTCTTATGACAGGGATATGTACAGTACTTTCTTTGAAGCTAATGCTCTGCTAGAGAAGAGTATTCCAGACTTCCAGTTTGCGGCCACATGACTGAATCTGAAGTAAGAATTACACGTCATTAGTTAATAACAATAAATTAATAAGCATAGGAGGCTGGGTGGGTCCCAGAGCCGGTGTGGACTACGTGGAGAAAAGAAAATTCTTGACCCTACGGGGACTCGAACTTCGACCTCTCACTTGTCCAGCCCGTGGCCAGTCGCTATACCGACTATGATATCCCGGCTTCTTCACGTATTATACTATTATTATATTTTTGCCGGCTAAAAGTGAAGCATCTTGATCGAGATACTG